CCCCCCCCCCCCCAAAGCTTTATGATTAAATTATTGCAGTAAAAGATCACGAGCGGGTACAGAATACGTCCTCCACGTGAATGTACAATGGATACGACATGTTGTTGCGTTTGGAAGTAAAATCGGGTTTACGATACTCGCGAAGCCAATGTCCAATACGAAGTCCACCTACATAGGTTTTTTTTCAATTCGAACGATCCCACCGAGCTTTTCAAAACAACTGCTTCGTGTGTATTATTTTCACCCACGTGAAAAACGCGCAACAACACACACGCGGGACAGAAGCGCACTAAATTCGCTCGTAAATTATTAAGGTATTTACAAGACTTTTGATTGTGAAAAGTGATGATGTACGTTATAAAAAAAATTCGATAAACGCCAAGAGTTTTTGCTTGTTTTTCTTTTCTCCCAATGCAAGTACGCTCCGAGTTTGCATATATTTTCTCAAACTGAATCATTGATGTCCCACGCAATTGGATCTTTCAATCGACAGAAAGGGACCAAGGTACACTGCACGATATCGTAAGTGGATCAGCCGTTCGATTACGCGAGGGAAAGAATTGGGAAAAAAAAAAAAAAAAACATTATCTAGGAGAAAAGGGCAGAGGGGGGGGGGGGGGGTAACAAAAAGAGCGTTGCAGGCGCAAGAGGAGGCCTATACATCAGATATATGTGTATCATCGTGGAAGCCCAGCGAGAGATGCTCGGACCACAAGCGAGCGTTTCCGCGGCAACCTGTATATCTCGCGTCAACACACAAAGAGGAGGAGAGAGAGAAAGAGGGAGTCTCCCTCTCCACACGTTGTATCTGTATAAGCCTCTCTCTCTCTCTCGGCTTTTCTTAAAATATAACAGCTCTATTTATATCTCGGGACGCGCACTAGCGTTTTGCGGCATCAAAGGAAAATAGCGAGCTCGCGTGTTTCCCTTGAGCTGCTGCTTACAGCGAAGAAAATTCGAAAAATCAGAGGGGGGGGGGAAACCAAACGGGATAGCGAGACTCGGCTAGGATAACGATGCTGTAACATAACTAGCGCAATGGTCGCATCCGCGAGCGATTAGCGTCGCCGGTAGTATCGTATGTGAGAATTTCAATGAGCAGCAGCAGCAGCAGCAGATAAATAGAGCGCGTTACAGCTATACACTGGGAGAAAGAACTGCTGCGTCCTTTAGCGACAACGAGCAGTCTAACAAGGGGACGACGTGTAACTGTACGAAGCTTGAGTTACAACCGCGCGCGAGTCTCGTTTCAAGGGGCCCGTGTGTAGTCGCCGACCAATCGGCTGCCATTGATCAATTGAACGGATCAACCTTCGCTCGCTTCTTGAGTGCGCCTCGGCCATATAAGGTGCATGTGTCTCAATGCGCTTGCCCGTCGCAGTCGTACTTTATGTATATATTAATAATAATAATTATAATTATAAACCAAGCGCCGTTTCAGCCGTGGGTAATAGCTTTCGTTCTCGTTGGTCAAAGGAATAATCTCCCGCGCGGCAGTAGGTCGTCGACCTATTTGATTAAGAAGCTATTATTGCGTTATTTTACGCGCGGTGAACGTCAAAACCCGACGGCGAACAGTTGGGAGAAGACGAGGTAAGCTGTTACAAATTTAATCAAAAGGTCCCGACAGTCCAACCATTTCGCAGCTCGGCTGATTTGAAGATCACGGAAAATTACGAAATTGCAGCGCCGAGTGACGTTAATTGCACTACTTTTCCTTAATCTTCGTAGCTTTTTTTCTTCTTTTGATTAATTAATCGGTACGTCGAGCTCGCGACAATCGTTGCGGCGTCTTTCGAGTCATGTGTTTTGTACATTATGATTAGTTTCATCACTATACATAAATGCTGCTGGCGTTTATATCATCGGTCATATGTATAAATCCTTGAATCATTGAAGAGAAAATTGTGACGATTTTAAATCCAAACAATAAAGCAGATACATTTTGGAAGGGAGGCTATATTATATATGTATATTGCGTAGGCGTGCAAGTGAGAATAATCAAACGAAAGCTCAACTTACTATTTGGCGCAGTCGATTAGCTGATACTCGTGACTCCTTTCGAAGCTCTGCTGCACGCCTCGATCCTTCCAGAGGGTTTCGACGATTTCGTAAAACTCCTGCAAGCATACATTATATCGAAAAATTTAGTCAACGTTCAATACTTGCGTACTGCGAATACTTTACGTGAACACAGAGGTATGAGTGTATACAGCAAATAACGTGTGTAAAAGCGTTACATGATAAATTAACTGTACTTTCTGTCGGCCTCTGATATGTGCCTTGTACAAGGGACTATTCGTCATCCTCATCATCTTCCTGCGTGGCGCATATTGTTATATTACGGTCTTACGTAATTTTGGAAAAATTGATTTTTTACAGATACACTTGGTCAATACCTTCGTTATCCGTGGAAAGCAATAAAAATCAATAGCGCTTATTAAGACTATACGTATACACAGGTGTATACGTGCATGTATGTGAGGGGTTCTAATTACGCGTCAAAATATGCACGGTTATATATATATGTATAAATATGTATATGCGATAAATAGCCGTCGGTGATGTCGATATTTTCGATATAAACCGTGATATTTTGGCAAACGCGAACCTTCAAATGACGAAACCACAACGAGCGTCGAGTGTCAGATGTCACGAGTTATTTTCATGGAGGTGCAGCAGCAGACCAAAAGTCCAATATAAGTGAAACGTTTATTTTTACACTTACCTATGTACGAAAATGAAATTCATATATACATGATACGGGGGGGTAGATAAGTACCAAAAAATTCGTAACGTAAATGTGTATAGGTACAGGTGGTGTACCTCGTTTTTCTTCGACTGTTTCGACAAAAATGGATAACGTTGTCTAGCCGAGAGAAAAATAATCGACAGCAATACCCATACGCGTGTGAACAATGTTTGTACGTAAGTTGGCGCGTGGATTATTATTTTATTCGTAGGGTAGGCATATAATATACAAACACGTGCACATGTGCACGACGCGCGCCTCGATAAATCCATCAGATCTGATTGCGTAATGCTTGAAATTGTTGTCGCGCGAAATGATGCGCCCTGTACACGTATGTAGGTTCACCTGCATGTGAAGAATGAAATTGACAGACGATGAGACCTTCGAATTTCCCGAAACTACATGGCTCGGAAGATAATGCGACATGTCATGCCGCAATTGGATTACGATTAGATTAAACGGCGCGTAAAAAAAAGAAAAAAAAAAAAAAAAAAAAAAAAAAAAAAGAATACAGAAATCAAACAAAGGCAAGGAATGTGTGTATACTTGGTATCTTTTACGTGTATATGTGCGCGAACGAGTTGAAAAGATTGTTGAGCATAATAGGTGAGGAAAGATGGTGTATTTTCTGTACACATGGAGGAAGATGAAACAACGCAACAGCAGCTTGGGAGAGAAAAAGAGAGAAAGATTCGGTCGATCGAATTGAGCCTGGTAGCCTCCGGAGATTCGTTTTATTACGCCGATTAATAAGCGGATGGCGTACAAGCTTCGATTCGCTTTGTTTTTCAATTGCCAACGTTGATCGATCAAAATGGAATAAACGATTAATGGGGGAATGGGAATCGATCGAGCCGAGTTACGTTCGTTCGTTCCCCGAATAGAAGCGCCTTTGGCATTTTCATTATCCTCCATACACTCGATCTCATTCCGATCCCTATTACTGCTGCACTACACTTTACTCAAAAATACATGCGCGCAACTCGAATATCGGCTCTCATGCAACTTCAATATCTCGTTGTCATTCTTCATATCTTGCTCGGTGACCGCTCGTTTTTAATAACACGGGATTTTTTTTACTTTACAAAGTATTTACGTTTCATTGGGCGCAGTTATCGATGTTAATGATGAAATCATTGACAACAATTGGAACGTACAGGGAGCGAGTATATATAGGTAAGACAAGCGGATCGTGCAGTTGAGCAAAAACTGGAGCTGCTACTTGTTGTGAAAACATTATAAAAGACCTGATTACGAGCACGACGGTTCTCAACTCATCGGTATAGGTATACAGGCTCGTCTCGAGATTAACAAGACGTTTATTTTTATTTTCAATAGCCATGTATGATGATATTTTCTTTGCAAATCCTACGAGATAATCGATAAGAAATACTCTACAATCATTGCTCATCAAGTTACGGTACATGTATAAGTTCATGCTTTGTATTTATTCGAGGCAGCAACGATTATGCAGTAGTTGATTGATAGGTATTTTATTTATCTTTGATAATACCATCATGCTCACACTTTAGTTAATTTTTCTTTATCATCATAACATATAAAGGCAAAAGCATAGTATTTACTAATCGATCCTCTCGTATGAGCGGCCGCTAGCACATTCTGGCTATAAGTAATGACCAAAAATTTGTTATTTTTATTATTACGGCAATACTTTGGATAATATCGTATTTTATCGCTTTTAACTTGACGCGATAATATTATCACTATCAAAGAAAAGGTTGTTTCAATTTAAAAATATACAGAAAGATAAGAGTTATAATAAATAAAAGAGATGCATAAAAACTAATGAAAGAAAAGAAAAAAAAAAAAAAAAAAAAAAAAAAAAAAAAAAAAAAAAAAAAANAAAAAAAAAAAAAAAAAAAAAAAAAAAAAAAAAAAAAAAAAAAACCGTAACTAGATATCGCACATGCATTTTGTTCCTCCAGCAGTGATTACTCTGATATGTGTTATGGAGCGTTTGAATTTTTATCAGATTGAAACTTGTGAAAGGTTATTATTCCAAATTACGGTAAATCAATTATAAGGAGTGTGTTAAAAATAAAAGGCAGATAGCAAAAAAGTGATAAGAAAAGCATAATGGCCAAGAGCACAAGTACAGAAAAAAATGTACTCACTGGAGGATAATCGAAATCTGGGGAAGACGAGACGTCAAGGATGTAGTCGACTCTGCTCTGATTTGCAGGATCCTCTAACGTCACGGGTGGCGTTAACGTGCTCATTGCGCCGGTTATCGTCTGAAAGCAATCAGTCGTTGATCACTATAAACTGTGCCCCTTGTATAAGAATGTGAGTCAGAAGCTAAGACGCTGTCGCAAAACACTTTTTTTTTCATCTTCCATTAATTAAAATTTTTTGCTAGTCCAAGACTCTGAGTATTTATCTTGACTAAATTGCGAACGTCAAATATTGACACATTTTCATACGCACACTATTCTCCAGCTTAACGCGACTGTAATGAAATTTATGTTTCATGAAATTTATCTTACCACAATAGCGTCCCTGATGTTTTTCTTAATATCTTCAATTTTTTGTCGTTTTTCCCTGAAAAAACGATGCATTCTTTATAATTACGTTAAAAAATATATTTCTTGTACAAAAGTTAAAAGGCTGTAATTTTTCAATTCGCTTAAATGTTAAAGATTTTTAAATATAAAAAAAAAAAATTTACGATTTATTTTTTATTGTCAAATAAATGGAATGAAAACAAGTATTGTTATTTTTATTGGAATGGAGAAAGCGAGAAAAACTTACGGTTCACTGAATCCATTCACGTGCAGTATTCTCATCTGTTTGACAATTGTACTTTTGCCGGATTCACCCGCACCTACGAGGAAAAAAAAAAAAAAACAAAAAAAAACAAATAATCGATTTTAACAATCTGACTTGAAAATTTGCGGTTGAAAAATGTTTAATTATTTATTTAAAGACAAAAATTTCGATGTACTTTTTTATGGTGGCTATAAGCACTTCGGGGATTAAGAAGAATTGGGACTTGAAGCTAAAAATAGGAAACATTTTAAATACTTTTGTTGATATGGGTTTCAGAAATTTATAGTAATTTGAAATAATTGTATAATTTTTCAAATTTACTCTCTTATGTCAGTCAGATGAGATAAATTTAAAAGAAAGACTATTTTAATTGAAACAAAATTACAAATTTGATTGCATTTGATGGACAAATTACATACTTTCTAAATTTCAAATTAATTAATATACAATCATACATTAAATTTAAAAATAATAATAGCAATCAAGTTTGTTTGATTACTCAAGATTTTCATTGATGTAATAACCAGGCAAAATTCAGGTAAATTTCATCGCAGAAGTGAAATAAAATACCATTGCAGCACAATGTCAAACAAAATATTTGGAGTTTCCCAAGCTTGCCATGTATAGCACGCTAGGCGGCATAAACAAAAAAAAAAAAAAACAAAAAAAAAAAAGATACGTCACACACTCGTTTCAATTTGTCCACGATTGCAACCAGCTGCCACCGCAATGATGTTGCAAACGAAGGAAAAAAACTTGGTTGATTAAGTACCTATTACAAAATACTAGGTCACAGAAGGTGAGAAAGGAATAAGGGAAAAAAGATCGTGAACGGCTGTGTAAGGGTCCTTGAAAAGGGTTAAAAGACAAACGTGTGGGCAAAAAAGGAGCTCACCGAGCAGAAGGAGTCTGTGGGTCGCCCTGTAGACCTGCTTGTCCTTCTGGAGCTGGCGAGTGATAGCGTCGGAACGCCTCTTCTGGTTCTTACTGTCATCCTGGCCGGCCTTGCTGCTCTGACTGCCGAAGCACCCCATGACACAGGAGAGGCACGCGAGTCCTTCCCCTGCGCCTCCTCCACCCTCCTCCTGCACGGTGGTGGCGGTGGCAGCGGTGACGACGGCGGCGGCAGCGGCGCCCGGCTGCGCCTCCTCACCAGCCGGCTGCGGCGGCGGCGCCAGATGCGACGGTGGCTGCTGCGGCTGCCTCCTCGGCCTCCCAGCCCCACCCCCACCACCGCCTCCTCCTCCTTCCACCCTTTCGCGTTCCTCGCTCGTCTTCAAGCTGCACTGGCGCGAGGCTGGGCCCAAGCCGCTTCCTCCTCCGTCTTCTTCTGCCTCTCGTCGTCGTCGTCGTCGTCGTCTTCGTCGTGCCGCCTCACAGAATTAATCTACTCCTGGGCACACAAACAACAACAATATCACTCACAGAGTCGCGTGACACGACAATAACCCGCATATACAGGGGCACTACCTGCGAGCGGATACAGAAATTGTTCAACGGAGCTTGAGAATATTGGGAATAAGCACAGCCACAGCACACATGCACAAATTCACTCAGCCACCCACCCAAACACACTCAAACATACACACCTGGGCAATCCATGGGTGTATACATAAACTTATTCTATTACACCCACGCACTTATTATTATTATTATTATTCTTCGGTCGCGAGTCACTTTCCGTGATACATGTTAATTATGAGCTTTGAGGGACCGTGTGTAAAGTGCCCGGGGCCAGCGGCCGGCAAAGCAGACGACGCGAGGGCCGAGACGTCGTACACGCGACGAAGAGGAGGAAATGGGTATATAACGGAGTCACCGAAGACGATGCTTGTGCCCGCGGGCCTGTACTACACTGCCGCCGTCGCCGCGTTCCCGCACTGCTGGCTGGCTGGGGGAGGGGGCCACCTCGGCGCACATAGGATTGGACGGACGGATGGAGCGACGGCAGCTGCAGCAGCGCCGCGACTATTAGACCCCGGTCGTTCCGCTGGAGGGACGAGACGAGCCCCTGCCGCATGCGCGCACCGAACCCGCCCAGCACCCAGCGGCGTCGTAAGGAAGCTGCATTCCCGGAGCCCCCTCCGCCGCCTGCCTGTACACACACACTTTTCGCACCTCTCCCTCTCTCTTTTCAATATTTTCTCTAGCTCTTCTTCTACCGACTGACACCTATAAGTATGCTATATACTCCTCTTCCGCTTTTTGCTTATGGCCCTGACGCTTCCCCTCCCCTCTTCTCCTGGCACTATACACACGCACACTCCTTAATATACTGCATCCCCGCTGGCCTTGGTCGAGCAACATCTTCCCCGTGGCCAGAACTCATGCAAGGGTAAAATGGGGGTGGGCGCAGTCGAGAACGAGAGAAACTACCCGCTGCACTCACACGCTGCGGCTGGCTGGCGTCCTTGCCGTCGACGTTGTTGACTTCTTCCGGCAGATAACGGAGCTCCAGGTCCGCGAGAACAGCGAGGCGGCGGCTGCTACTGAATCGGCGGCGGCTGGCGAGCTGTTCCTTCCTGCAGCAGCCAACATGTCTGTCTTCTGCTAGGGCCAGCAGAGCTGTATATATATTATATATAGATGTGCCGGAACGGCGATCGCTATACAAGAGGATATAGGGGGATGACCGACGGGAATTTAGGAGTATACGTAAAAAAAAAAAAAGAGGTGTACACGATCGACAGGGCGGACGCGGTTACGTGATATTCACATTTCTCACTTGTCACAAGTCACATTTGATTTTTTTCGTCGTCGCTTGCTCGCGAAGCGACGTCCATCTCCACGACGATCGTATAGCAAAGACTTGGGTGGCTCCCTATCTTCTTCGGGGAGTGTATGTATAAAATATATACCTATATGTATATCTTTTTCTTTCCAGTAAAAGTAGGTGTATTTAATATACGGGTACGAACGGGGCCTGTAGCTCCGACTGTGTCGCAGAGCTTGTATATATATATAGCAGGAGAGAAAACAAGTTGATCAGTCTTCGTTCGCGTGCGGTTTCCCTTCCGTGACTTCCGTCGTGTCAGTTTGCTTGCCAAACTTGTGTTTTCGTCATGTCAGCTTTTTTGAAAGATTTGCCTGCCACTGGTACGTAAGTTGGTTAAACTCCCAGATGACCAGTTACCCTAAATCTACAAGTTGGCGACAATAATCTAATGCACACGCGTTTCTTTAATTGCAGATGGCAAGGTGACAACAGACCTGTTCGACAAAGTATCGCTCATTAAAAATGAAATAATAACGTTAAAGTCCCTCACCAATGACTCTATGAAGGATAAATACATCGAGCTTGCAGCTAATCTCAAACCAGATAAAATATTACTCCACAAAAGTGAACAACTTGTCCAGGACATGGAAAATTTGCAGAGTCGCATTAATGATCAGGTAACAATTTTCGTTTGCATAATCTTAAATAGGCACAAATTTTTCTATTACTTTAACAATCATTCATTTATTTTTATTTTTTTTTATTTTTTTTTTTTTTCTGATTACTAGATCGTGACAAAATTGACCAGTTCGTCAAACGAATTACAGAATCTTTCTATAGAACTGAAAGAATATAATTACAGTTTGCATTTATCCAGTCATCTATTAAAAATTCATCAGGCCTTTAATTACATAGAATCTTTTAACAATAGTAATAAACAATTGAACGGGCAATATTCAACTGTAGCAAAGATTATGGTAGAATTGCAAGAATTAGTAATTGAACAATACCGTGATATTCAGCTACTGAACAATTACGTTGTAATGAAGGAAGAATATTTCAAATTGCACAACAATTTCACTGAAGAATTGGTTTCTTTGTGGCATAAAAATATTTATTGGAGTGATCAAAAGGACACTTTTGATGAAAATATCGTCAGTTTAAGTGTAAAATTCCCTGTTGACGATTTGATGGATTTAGTTCAAGCTCTTTTTATTGTTAAAAAATTACAAAAATACGTAGAACTGCTGTCAATCAAATTATTGCGAAATTTTATTAGTCCAATAATCAACTGTGAATGTCTTGTTAATAACACAGATAATTCATTTTCGATTAAAATTTTAAATAAGAAACAAGTGCCACCTTACAGATCTGTTTTAGACAATCTAAAGATTTTTTTTGAATTTGTAAAAAAACATTTTGAAATTTCTGTGGATAGCGAAAAAAGTTTACTATCTCAAATTTCAAATATAATATTTTCAGATTTCTCAAATCTTTTAACAACAAACTGTATTTTCAAAATACTTCCTACCTCAACTGCAGAAATTGAAACTTTTAAAAATATTGTCTTAGAAGTTGATGCCTTTCAAAATTATTTATTAGATATTAAATTTATAACTGAAGAGCAAAAGTTCCTGACCAATTATACTAACAATATCGATGAATTGTACATTGAAAAGAAAATTGAAAAATTATTGGAAACTGCTAGAAATATCATGAAGAAGGATCTTCATGATTCTATAAGCTACAAACAAAAAAGTCTTGAAGAACATGATTGTATTACAGAGAATGTGATGGAAGACTACGAAAGTATAACACTATGTGATAATTTTTTTCACTTTCCTAAATGTCAAATCAGGTATGAATTTTTAATAATTTTAGTTGTGTCATATCACTTTTTTCAATAGTTAATATCACTTTTTTTTCTAGTAAAAGTGCTCAAGAAATCATTTGCTTAGTAGAAGAAATTTTAGAAGAAGGTTGTCAAAATCCAGAAAAATATTTACCAAAACTGTTTTACACTACTCGGAATATATTTGAAATGTATGCCAATTTAGTACCAGAAATACACAAATCCTATTTGGAAACTATACCACAGCAAGTAGGTAAGTTGAAACTGAAATTTAAAATAAACGAATTGATACATTTTTTTGATTGTTTTATTACAGCTCTGTTTCACAATAATTGCCTCTATCTTTCGCATAATTTATTAACATTGGCGTTTAAGTACCAAAAAAAGATAACACCATCATGTCAAGAATTTTCACTAATTTATGCAGATCAAGTATTACTTCTTAGAGAAGTTGGTTATAAATATTTTTTGAGTCATTTAAAGTATCAAAGAGACACGATTCTCGATATATTACGAGAGTCGGGTAAGTGTTTATGATTGCACCAAAACTGATGGGTCATCAAGTATGTCATGATTATTTTTGAAATAACTTATACAGGTTTAACAACAATTGGTCAGATGCCTGAATTACCCGCATCTACAGAACGAGCACTTAGACAGTGCATCAGACAACTGGAACTGTTGAAAACAGTTTGGACAGAAATCCTCCCAATCAAGGTGTTTTATAGAGTTATGGGTTGTATTATCAATAACATGATTGATGACATAATTGCCAAAGTGATAAGTGTGGAGGATATTCCTGCTCATGTTGCATCAGAACTGGTTACACTTTTTAATATGCTTCTTAATAGAATACCGCAAATTTTCTCGGTAAGAAAAAACAAAGTTAATTTTTTGAAATACAATCAAATCAATCTTGTTGTTATGTGACATAATCTATACATTTGTAAATATTATTAGGATCCACAGTCAATAGAACGATATGTTCAAAGATGGAAAAAATTAAAGGAATTGATTATAATTTTGGGAGCATCTTTGAAAGAAATAGAAGATAGGTGGGCCGACGGTAAAGGTCCACTTGCAAAAGAATTTTTACCTCAACATGTCAAACAGTTGATTCGGGCGTTATTCCAAAATACAGAGAGGAGATCTCATTTACTATCTAGGATAAAAGAAAAATCATAAAGTATGAAGTACACACAGCTTGAAGCACGCGCAGTGCACTACATGTAAATAAAAGAATAAACATACAAATGTTATATAATGCAAGGGATATATTTTATAATTTGTACAATAAATGAAATTTTTAAAAAGTATCCTATACTTACTTAGAGTTTGTGAAATTTTATATTTGAAAAGAAAAGTTCGGAAGCCCGGTCATGACATCTAGTAGATTTCATCTACATAAAAAGACCGCTAGATGGCGCTGATCCAAATAATTATTACTGTAGAAAAATTCCATTCATTTCTAAAAGAGAAATTTAAATTACTTAATCTTACTTAACAATAGTTAATAATTTACTTAACAGATCACTTAAGTTAAAATGTATGGGTCTACTAGACTCACAACGTTTTTGCATTTCGTATTTATATATAACCTTATGCATTGTTCATAACTATTTGGTTTCCTTCATATGTAAAACTTTATTTATTGTATTTAAAAAGGGCGCTTTTATACTCCATTAATTTTATATGTATATAATGTATTTAAGTGTGTAATATAATTTTAACTGTATTTGTGTTATGGCAAAAATGTACTCAAACTGCCAATAAAAATTTTATTCAATCAATCAAACTATAGAAAAGTGTTGGATCGATTTTCCAGATCACTTTCTTGCCGGCTCATTTTATATATATTGGACATATAGCCAACATACCACATGGTATTGTTTCTTTTCCGGTGATCGTAGCTCTAGAACACATTCAAGTGAGTGCAAACTACTTATTACGAATTATTTATTTATCGTAAAAAGTCGCTCTGAGGCGGTATTTGCAAGTAAGTTTGTGTAAAACAATACTTTTCTACATCATGATTTTTAAAAACTTAACTTCGTTAAAGTTTTGATGAAAAACGTCAAGGGTTTGTCACGTCTGTCAATCGACCATTATGACATGATGTTAAGTACATGTTATTGTTTGTGAATTATGTAGATAAGTTTTGAGTAATTTACTGGTCATTATCTAACATAATTAAGTGTTTGAGTGTTGAAAATATAGATTTCATAAAGCTTATCTCAACATAACCAAGTCCTTCTCATACATAACCCTCAAATGATCAATATTTGTTTAAAAATAAGGTAATCTCATTATATTGCAGGATGTTGATGCCCAAAAGTCATCGTGTCGCTATCTATGAAAACCTCTTCAAAGAAGGTGTTATGGTAGCCAAAAAAGACTTCCATGCCCCAAGCCACTCAGAACTAGAGAACATTCCTAATCTTCACGTTATCAAAGCTTTACAGGTAAGATATTTTTATTTGTTGTTATAAAACGAAATGTAATATTTAAAATAATCAATGATACCGTTTTGTGTTTATAGTCATTGAAATCCCGTGGCTATGTAAAGGAACAGTTTGCATGGAGGCACTATTACTACTACTTGACAAATGATGGTATTGAGTACCTAAGGCAATTCCTCCACCTACCCCCTGAAATTGTGCCTGCTACTCTTAAACGCAAGGCCGCATCTGATCCTTCGAGGCAGAAGCCTATGATGGGCCCCAGAGGCCCAGAAGGCTCTAGACCATCTGAGGATCGTGCTGGTTACAGGCGGGCAGGACCTGGTCCTGACAAAAAAGCCGATGTCGGCGCTGGGACTGGCGAACTGGAATTCCGTGGTGGATTCGGCCGTGGAAAATCGTTCCAATAAACGAATTTTATATGCCAGAGTTATTTATTCTTGATGCTACCAGCTTGAAAGTTATCGAATAATTTTGTATATAATGTCTAAATAAAAAATTTGTTTATAAAAAGGATTAAATTACCGTTTCATTGATACAACTTATAGAAATAAAATAACCACGTTTTAAAAAAAAGCCGACCAAAAGAATTATTCTTACAATAAAACGAAATTTTCAATGTATTTTTCTAAAATTATACACATGTATACTTATATAATTTTTACGTTTTTTAAAACTTCCAAGTAATTTACAGATCACGTGTCTTTTTTTTTAAAAAAGTCATGTATTTTCATCTGTGTGCCTTTTTTGCTATTTTTTATACTCTTATTCGTTATGGGTGAGCTTGTTCTGTTTATAAAATTCTGGTCACTGTTTTTTTCGACAACGCTTATATCAACTTCCATTGGCTCTTCACTTTTCGATTGTTTCTTAGTTGCTTCTTCTAAAATTAACTGATCAAAGGTATCGAGAGAAGAAATCCTCTTTTTAGGTGGGTCGTCGTACTTTTCCCCAAAAAGTTCTGCAAATGATTGTTTCTTTTTTTTCAACGGCGTTGACGTCTCTTTGCAATCGCCAGATACGGAATCAAGTTGTTGACTCTCGTTTCCGTCATTGGTAATTGGCATATTTACATTTTGTTTGCCGTCTACTTTTTCTTTATTTTCAATTTGATTTGAACCAAGACCAGCGACACCGTTGTCGTCTTCCACATCTTCTAGCCACTTTTCGATCTTTTCCTCTAGTTGATTTTCCTTTAATTTGGCGATTGACGCGTATTTTTTAAAATCATTATTGAATTGCGATTTCGCTTCTGGAGACTTTTGCAAAATTTGGTTGGTGGACTTGTTTTTCTTGGGACTAATTTTTTTTACAAAATTATTTTTCTTTTCCTCGTTGAAGTACATTTCCAAAGGTTTCATTTTACTTCGAGTGTACAAAAAACTGTAAAAATCCTGACGCTTTTTGGTAGGTATATCTTGATACTCGGACATTAAGACAAACAATCTTCCTGAAAATATGAAATTACATTTTTACATATTATTTTTATATCATTGTTTAACTACTTGTTTTATTATACTGACCAACATTCATGTCTTGTTTAATTAGGTTCCAGTACATTTCGGCGACACTATCTCTCAAGTTTTCATCACCAAACGTAAAATACGTGATCGATCGCCCCGTGACCGCTGCAGCCATCAGCTGAATTAATACTTTTAGTTGAGGGTTTCCAGAAAATGCTCCACAACCCCAATTGCCTGTAGCTACACCTGGTAAATTATCGGACGCAATCTCCGAAAAAAAGCCGACGTAAGCCTTAAAAAATATTTAATAGATATGTATTAATTTTGTATCATTGATAGATTAGGGAAACACGAAATAAAAAAAAAAAAAAAATTAAAGTACCTTGTTTAATTCTCGTATTAAATTTTCAGTATTGTATTGCGTTTTAGGTTGATTGAAGCGCTGCGCATCCATTGCAACTATACAAGTTTTCATTCTACCACTGTTATCTCTTGGAGTTTCATCAATGTAATTTCCTGCCCACGTAAAATGATCGCCGTATCCCTCGTAAAGACTGTACCTCTCAACCCCTTTAATAACAAGAGCCTCGGTATCATCTAATGATTCAGTAACTAACATTGTGACCATCAACTCTGGACAAAGAACAAATCGTATTTCTTCTTGAACACAGCCGTACCTCAACACTCCACCACCAACAAATCTGAAATAAAAACTCGCTGAATGTAAAAACGTGTATACTTAGTTAAGTTCAGATTTTTTGTTTGATCAAATCACACGTACTTATTTGCAAAATCAACTTGCAACAAACCAAGTCCTTCAGACTCAATCGTTCCTTTACTAGTAATGTGAAGTTGTGGTAATCGTACATTTTGGTTATCCCAATTAGGACAATTATTCTTGGGTATATACCTCCTCTGGATAGTTATTGTGCCTTCAGGTTCTGTTTTTAAAAAAGCAATTTAAATCATAATAAGAGTTTAATAAGTGGAAAATATAAAAAAAAACGGGCATACCTTTTGATGTTACTCTTCTAAAATAGTGGAAAATGCACTTTAATTTTTCCATCACAGCTTGACGCCTAGAAGCTCGCTTGTCGTGAAGAGCTCCAAATAATCTAAAATTTTTCATGTTTAAAGAATTATATTTTACTCGCAAATGTATAGTACAATGTTTTATAATGATCAGAGAAAAACATACCTGTTGAAGTTTATGTGTGGAAACAGCGCGTATTCAGACTGTGGATTTGTTGAATTACGTCGTGGAAATGTACAAAAAAATGCATTTGCTAAAAGAGAAGCTACTTGCAGCTGACTTAAACTGATCGACTTATTTGAGTGGCGTCTTAACAGAGGTATCGAACCAGGGACCAAGTCAGGAAGTTGAAGCGCTAGTTGAATGATTTTTGGAACTAAATGTCCCAAACACATTTTCATTTCTTCTTCATCGATATACTAAACATTATTCAAAATTATCATTAACATTATCATTTGAGTAGAAAAAAATATATTGCAACTTGTTTATTCACGTCATTAAAAAAACTGTGTAATGCAGCAAAATTCCATCTTTCTGCGTATTTATGATTGTAAGATAAAATAGCAACTTCTAGCTGATGACTGGAAACAAAATTTTGCAATAATGCTTCCTGGATGACGTCCCACCTGCGCCTCAATCCACCAGAACTTTCGTTTTCCTGAGTTTGATAAAAATATATTGTTTTGAGAAATTCGTTAATCATTTAAAAAAAAAAAAAAAAAAAAATATAAGACATCTTTTTTTTGTCAATTACAGGATTAATTGGATAAAGACTGTGTGAGGAGTATGGCATCCGCACATAATTTTGAGACCAGTGATTTGCTGTTTGAGCTGTATAAGGTTTTGGTGGACCACGATTAACTAAAGGAAGCTGTAAAAATAATCAGCAGATCTAGTGACAGAAGCTAAATGTAAAACATAAGCGACATAGAACAAACTTACTTGAAATAAAACTGTATGGGAGGATGACGGATGGATTGGTGTCAAATGATGCCAGTCAAATGGCCCATGGTGCCTGTATATCTCTTCCATGCTTACTCCTTTCCATTCAGGATCATCGATATTTACAGAAGGCTCGGGATCCGCTGACGTAGAACTAGCTAAAAATTCATATTGAATGATAGAAAATAAAAAAAGTTAAACTAATCTTAAGATAATTAATGTTGTAATCAAATGAGTGAATAAATGACGAGGTGGTCTCACCTTTGTCGGAGGTTCCGGCAATGGAGATGTTTGTATCATTTTCAGCAATAGAGATGTTTGTATCATTTCCTGCATCAGAGAACATATCTGCTAGCGATGCGTCTTCCTCTAATGACATTTTGGAGTCGGACATATTTTTCTCTGTTGCACAAAACACAGTAGTCATGAAAACACTCGATCCCTACAATCTTTGTAAAATATTAGCTACCATTACTAAGTAAAACATATTTTTGTCCTCTTACTAACATTTACGTGTTGTTATTTTATGTAAGCATAACCATCAAGTAACTATTTTGTTCTATATTACACTCACTGCTGCGATAAGAGAATCAATTAAAATACTCTTCGCGTAATTTCATGTCTTAAAATCGACCTGATTAATAATAATAAGTCAAGTTGAAGGATCGGACCGGTTCCTTTAAAATTAATGTTTACGTTTTAGCTATCAGATCTGACGCGACAGCAGCAGCAGCAAGGAAAATACACACGCACACAGCTTTTTAGGATAGCTTTTTAGCGGCAAATTTAAAAGCCACGAAAGAAGTCGTACTCAATGTATTGTACAACTCTTAATATACTTATGTTTGCTTTAATTCCAAATGAAATTAAAGGTATAGATATAATGATAAGTTATTCCAAGATATGTTACACAGCAAAATTCAAAAGCTCTGGTGCTTAAAAAATTTGTGTGAAATTTAGTTGGATCGAATGTGCTTGCAGTGCCAAATTCTTATTTGTTATGAAAAATAATGTCAATTAAAGCTCAATTTTTTTTTCATACATCGATGGAAATCACATTTTTTTTAATTTTATTTCTTCAACGACGCGCCGGAAAACGTTTATTCAAACCTTCGAATACTGGCCGATTTTTAAAGCACTCATCTGAATTTTACCGTGATACTAACATTTTTTTTTATTTTTGCCAAGAGAATTCCTCCGACTCGCGAGCTTGCAGAGTCACACACACACACATATTGTGGGGGAGTATGTATATCTCTCTCTTTTGCTCTCGTATGCCCATCGCGCGAAATAAAGTGAACTTTGGAGAGAGGGAAGAGCGAGTAGGGGGACTGGTACAAAAGCCATAGAGAGCAGACAGCCAGCTCCTCTAGCTCCGAAAAATAAAGAACACAACATTCGAATGACAGACGGACAGGTGGTATATGTGCGCGCTCCGGAGCAAAAAAGTGTGTTCCTCTGTTGAGCGAGTGTGTTGAAAGAGAGAGGGACTGTGTTTATCCCTCCTCCAATATATATACAAGTGCACGCAGCTTAGCCGTTTAATATTGTGTGTTCTGTCGCGGAGGTAGGAGCTTCTTCTCTCGGTCCTACACCCAAGCGGGAGCACCTGTAACGTGCCAACCTCGTAATAAGTACGTGGATTGTATACAAAGTCGGGCACTAACAATTTATCCGCGTGAGCGCGCGAGTGCATCGATGTGCATTGTTCAAATAATGATGACAAATCCATTATAAATAATCGGAGTTACGCGAGTGTTTTCTTTTTTTTTTTTTTTTCCATTTCTTTTTTTTACACGTCGTGCGATCGCATAGTCTCGTCCTCGGAGGGCGTTGGTGGAGTGTGTTTATACGATACGTGATATATATATATATATATACACATATATAGATCGTTGTATCATCAATTTGTTAAGTGTAAAAAGTACTTGGAAAAAGTGGTGGTCGAATCGATTTTTTTTTCTCTTTGTTGGACCCTTGGAAGAAATCAAGATATAGTATTTTGACTAAAAGTGACCGGTGTTACGTGAACTTTGTTGAAAAAAAAAAAAAAAGTAAAAGTGAGACAATAAAATAACTGAGTAAGTGCTTTGTCAAGTGCACGTATTGAGATGCCGAGGGTCTGAGTTGCACGAGCTAATCGTGCAACTGTTTCAACTGCTCTATGATGAGTCCACCGCCCGACAGTCTACACTGCATACGAAAAGGTACGTTTTGGTGCTGCACAAGGTGTATATTATTGTATACACCTGTTTTCTGTCTTTCTCCTTCGTGGCACCCTTTTTCTTATCGTCCCTTTCACCCTGCAGTATATACTTGCAAGACGAGAGGAAAAATTTGGAGAGATGTATTTTATTCCAAGTTGAGGCTACATACTGCGTGTCCATTTATCGCTCGTATTGATTTTTCTTGGGAAAAGTAGCCCCGAGTGGGTGGAAAACGCAAGGAAAATTCACGAGTCTCCTCGTGGACGTACGAAATATTTCATTCGTACGGATTTTCATGAAGTAAAAAAACAAATGTTTACTCAAAGCCTGTTATCGGAGTGTCATTCGGTTTCGATGACTAGATAACGCAATTTTGTCGCAACAACAGCTGTCGTGTAAACAACGACGGCGTTTGTTTGACTTCTTCTTTTTTTTTTTTTTTTTTCTTCTTTAACGAAATACGTACACACAAAGTCAGTTCTTTCTCAGTCTCGTATGAATGTATTAAGTATTATTCTTCTTCTCAAACAGATACCCCTGCCACGTGCACCGATATATATTTATATCTATATATGGCCTTCCAGAGAATTTTGCACCTGCGTATATACTCTCTATTTTCGCAAATGGTTACCAAGCGATTCGTATTTGTATTTCATTGAAATCATTAGTGATCCATTCACATTTCTCGTTTTCACTGTCAATAATTGTACGAGTTGATGAAAACTATCAACAAATACAATAGTCGTGATGTGCACTCGCTCGAAAATGTATGCGTCAGAGGTGAAAAAAAAAAAAAAAAAAGAAGAGTTTTGTGTACACGCATACGATTATCTTATCGATTCCTCGTACCCGCCGTTTTGCCAGACGCAAACTACATATATACATTCACACATCCGAACGGTTTATCAAAAGTGTTGGCAATGTACGCGCCAGTATCAGTTACACATGTGTACCTATATAATATATGTACAACACGGCATTCTCCCGACCGTTATAGTACACGCAAGCTGTAAGACGTCAAGTCCATGGTGTGTCCACCGCGCAAAAATAAGCATCAAAGGGATAATATAATGTATATGTACGCGATAAGACGAGGAAAGAGCGCGTGTGTACTTGCAGTCTCAAATAAGAAGAGGAGGCCGACGCGGAGGGAGATCCGAGAGTGTGGGACTATTGATCGCGCGGGGGCTGCATGTCGAGGAGAGCTCCGACATCCCGTCGCCGCTGCAGTATACACGGACTGTGTATAATATACATACATATATATACAGACTGAGATGCTGCCGCGTGGACCACCACTTCGTATGCATGACAATACATTTATATTCATTGGTATTGTTTTCGAGTCGCTTCGAATTTGTGGAAGGTTGAGCAAAAAAAAGAAAAAAGTCTCGTACGAACGGGCAATTAAAATTCTGTTTGATCATGACTCGAGTGAAAAAAGTACACGGGGTGCGCTTCGTTCGTGACAACACATAGACACGCTCGAAATATATATATATACTGTCTCACTACGGTGTATACGAGGTAGGTATGTATAAAGCCACATGATGGCTCTGTCGGTAGCGTGTCTGCCTACAGATCTTGATGGCCGGGGTTCAAATCCCACTCTGGACAAAAATTTCATCAATGAATGAGGTTTTTTTCTGGATGAGATTTGTACTTCAATAAACCTACCGATCTATCTACCGTTTCCCCCTACTGTTATTAAACCCAACGTATGGCTAAATACACTTTATAGTGTCAAAATAGCCGTGTCTGAGCCCTCAAGGGGCGATGATGAATATAAAAAAAAAAAAAAAAAAGGTATGTATAAAATGTATACAAGATGGGGAGGAGGCCCACCCGCCACTCGTCTCTCTCTCGATGTATCCCATTCATGGAGCCAAGCGTGTATATTATATAGGTCTTCGGCCTCCCGGAGGTGATGAGAAACGGAAAAGAAAAGAGGAGGAGATGGGCAAAGCGGTGCGAAATGTTCTTTGATTTTTGCTTGCAGCTCGTGCGCTGGTCGTCGAGGGGAGAAGCCGCGGCGGTAGCTGCATCACCGGCAATACCGAAAGGAGGTACCAGCGCCGTGGATTTTCCTCTTTGTGAGTAAAATTCGGAAAAAACATGGTGACGTGGAGCTGCTTGTTACACCCCCATCACATATAATATCCATGTACGGGAACTCGCTCGAGTTTTCCTGATACGCACACTGGATCATCAATTTCTTGCTATGTATATGTATTCATACACTTGGTGGTTAGATTCTTTTTTTCATTTCTGGTGGCTGGGCATATATATACTTATTTTTCCTTGTATTGCCGAACTACAACTAATATACTATATTCCAACTGATTGGATGGTGGAGGTCGACTCTTTGCGGTGTACCTGCTTAACTGTATTACAGGTGATGGGTATACAGGATACGCGTGTCCGATCAGTAGGAAGCAGTTGTTTCGCAAATTTTACACGTGTCTTGGGACACACACGCGCACACGGAGGCAGGATCATATCTTTGCTCCGATATAGCTATGTACAACCGATTTCTCGGAAGAAACTTGATGGTGGTTTTTAACCGGCACACATATACTACCTACATTAAAATGTATCATACGCTTACCGATCTTTCTCTGCTCTATACGCACGTCTACAGTTATATTATTGTTGTTGCTGTTGAAAATGATTAACTTGCGATAAATGCGAACTAGATTTACTTGCACAAGGTTTTGCACGTGTGGCGTGGATCAAAGTGATACTATATGGCGTATAAGAAAACATAGAGACGACTAATCGCTGAAATTCAAAAGTAAATCGAAGCGCGGAGGATTGAGCTACTACTCCCACATACTTGTGAGTGGAAATACATAGGTATACGAGAGGATCCCCGCAAAATGAGGGACTCGATCGCTCAGAAAATTGCAACGCCCTCCGCATGAGTCGCGCCAATTCTTTTGCAAGGCCGCTAGCTATACATACATACATATATAGTGCCGGTCTCTCGCACTATACACGTACAGTGCAACACACGTACACCCCCGAGCTTACAATATTATGCACATGTAATGTAGCCGTGGCGGCTATCGTGGCCCTCGTACGGCATTTCTCGAATATATCGATCGAGAACCTGTGTGTTGTGCTGCATCGCATTCACGTTGGAGTGTTGATTTCCCTGCAGGTATACTTACCTAAAGTTGCACGAGAAGGCGATCGATAAATGGTGTTACGAGCTTCAATTTCGATTCGCCGCCGTTGCTCGTAGATCCCCCCCCCCTCCAAATGAGTTGATTTTATTGGGTGTAATTGCTGCGAAGGTGGCGAATAATCACCGGCCTACAGGAGAGGATCACCGGTGATCCAGGACGCGGGTTCCTCCTCTTCCTCCCCCGATTAATTTACCGTACCGCGCGTGTACTTTGTCCGAGGCCTGTTCGTGGGCTTTTTTTTTCCAATACAGCGAAAACA